CTAATGTAATGAATGTTATATAGAACATTATTTAAAACTAAAGTTTTGGATTTCAATGCATCATTGATCTTTTGAATTTAGGTTTTCTTTGAATAACTATGAAGCCCTCCCTTTAAACATATTCACTTTAAATCAAATTCTCCTTTTAACTAATAATTTTATAAACTAATCATACATCACATTTTTTTTGTTTATAATGTTGCATGAATTCATTTGTAAGGACATTCTTTGCTATGTATTTATATTTATGAATATAAGCTTGTGAAAATAGTTTGTTTTCTTTGTGCGTTGCCTAAACTTACATAACGTAGTGGCAGTGGTGGCAGATTTAGGAGACAGCAATTATGTTACAAAGAAATTTAGGCATGACTATTGAAAAGATTGATTGCTTAACTGTGAAATATTATGAGAGGCTTTTGATAACTAGTTTTCCCTTTAGATATTTGTAATATTGTAATAAAAAATTGTAAATGTGTTTTAAATTTTTTTTTTCAAGTATCTTCTGATTAGTTTTCAATATTCTACAGATTTTAATTCTTTGCTAAATTAACCCTACTGGACCGCCCACTATGCCCTGAGCTCCTATGCCCTCTTTACTTACTATCTCTGAAGCTCTTGACCTAATGGAAATCATGATTTTTTCTTATCAAACTCTCACATTATCATTCAATGGAAGTAAATACATTATTCTTTATGAAGTTTTTACATCTAAGAGTCTTCTAAGATCAAGCCTAGATCTATCTTATTATGTGTGCCTGGTTCGTGTTTATGACAAATTTTCATGTAGATCCACACAAATTCAATGTGAACACATGGGTGCAGCCATTTGCAAAGCTAAACATATAGTTTTATTATGATTGTTGGTTATTTTTATATTTTGACTCATTTTTTTTTCTTTATGAAATCGGAAATAGAGGGGGAAAAAAAACAGTCCGCTCACTGACACAGTGGCCATTTTGGAAATTAAAGAAAAAGTGGTCCACCAGTCTGGAAGTGTTAATGCTTTTGAAAGATTTTCTGTTATTGTTAAATTATTTAAATTGTTTATTTTGTTTAGAGGTAAGAGGATGTATCCTTTTGCTACAATTTCTAAGCTTCTATTTGTAGCAGAATATAGTTTTTAGAATGGTTTAGGAATACTTAGACTAATATGATGCAAGAGTGGAACCAGCATTTGATTCTCTCTTTCCAGTTTCAGTAGTACAATATTTTATGTATGTGTTGTCAAGATATTTTATAAGTGTTACTGAAGAACCTTATTTCATGGTTCTCCATTTATGAAAATGTCTGTGTACATTTATGGAAATCTAGTGGAAACATAGAATTTTACCATGATGTCACTTAATGGCACAAAATCAAATTTACAGTGGCATAACATGGTGTAGATTATGCTAATGTATCCTGTACATCATACATTTTAATTATGCCTAGTTTCCTCAGAAAAAAAATTGTGTTTTCATATCTTCCAATTATTCTCAAATAGAAATAGAATTTGAGAAACTAACATCATCTTGGCTAAAAAGTGCCATTTACTAAATATGAAACCCATTTAGTTTAGTTTGATTTGAGAAGTCCATTTTGTGTAAAACTGTTTTATTAATGAAGTAAATCTTTTAGTTTTTTCATTATTGTGCCTGTCATACAAAATGTCTTTAAGTTTTACCCCAACAGACAATGTCACCTTTTTGAATAGAATTTTCTTTATGGAGATTACAGTATTTAGTCTCTCCTTGACTTGCCATAGAGCAGGGACTTCTGGCTTACATCTTTGAGGGATTTCTACCTAAACAAGATAAAGGAATTTCTTCCTTCTATCATTGAGAAACTTACATTGTAATTCACATTTGGGAATTGCATCAGGGATGCCCAGCTTTGATCTGTATAGTTTTGAGTCACTAAAGTGCCCTAGAGAGAATTTGAACATATCTGTGTACTCTGAAATAAAGCTCATTATTTCAAATCACTTGGCATCTTGCCTAAGATCAATGTATGCAATGTTTCAATTGTTTTCACAAAAACAACAGAGCTTGTTTGATTTCAGAGCAAGTCTGTTATCATCTACAAAATTTCAAATGACCTGTACAATCAACCGTTTTTTAAATTCTACATATTATTAAAAATACTTCCTAAGTAATACATCTCATGATATTTAATGCATCGATTATTATTCTTGATATTGTTAATAGAAAAAATTACATTCAAGTTCTCATTTCACTATTAAAATGTTTCTAAGACTAAAATCACTTACTCATAGCTGTGGTAAAAATGTCGTGTGAAAATTTGGAATTATTACTCAAATGTGAGGGTGCTAGGGGACTATATTAAATTTGACATTCTAACATTTTATTGTTGAATTTTTGTTTGTTGTTAATAAAAAAAAAAACTTGTTTCAAAAAAACAAATGGTATTGAACTGATTTGGTTTTCTTTTGTTTTCTTCCAGTGTCAGAGTTTCTTAATGCTGACAGTTGAGTATATACCCCACTATTTGTCCTTTTTGTTTCCATTATTTATGGTTCCATGTTTTGTGTGTTTCATCTTTCAGCCACTAATCTAAAGTTATGATAATGTGCATGATTTGTTTATCACCATAGACCTACCTAAACATCTGCTTGTACATTATCCTGACATTGACCTATTTTATTTATTTTTGCTCAGGGTAAATGGGATATGATAGGGTGGATTTTCTATTTGTTAGTATACAAAATGCCCATGATTAGTTAGCATAAAACATAAGTCCATTGTTCATTTCATCATGATTTAATTTCTTGGTTTCTTAACAGAACCTTCTGATAATCTAAGTCCATCATTAAACCCAAATGGCAAATAGTTTAAAAGCTTTAATGAGTGTTTGTTTTGTACTGCATGTTATGTTATAGTCTCATTTTTCTCATTAGGCTGGGTGTTTTTGTGTTTTTTTTTATTCCTTGGCTTTGGTATATATTTCCTCCTTTTCTGTGATTGGGTTTATAGATAATAATAACAAATAAATGCACTTATTGTTAGCTTAGAAATGGGTACATACAAATTAATAGCTCTAAGCATTTAGTCAAAATAAAAAAGCTAAAAATTATTTTTAGTTACATAAATTCATCGTTGAATCAATAAATATACATGGTGGTACATGAACTCATGAACATTGAAATAAATTTTAAAAACATTATTTCTTAGTTATTTATAATTTCATGTATTAATTTAATGTATTAAAAGTATCCTATTCAAAATTTAGGGAAAATAATAATGATTTGTAATTATTGTAATGGGAATCAAAACATTTTCTGTTCATCTTTTCCATGTAGGCCAGGAAATTTCTCTTTGAGTCTTATGTGTTTTAGTTTCATGAAAAAATAATTGCTGAATTTTAACTATATAGCTTGTACATAATACCTTCAATTTTATAAATAAATAAGTTAAATAAGCATAAGTCATCCAACTGGTTAATAGTTCAATTTTCCATGACTCCTAACCTTTAAAGTGAAGAATAAAATATTCTATTTATCGGTACCTCCCTTCTTTTTCTACCTTATTTAGACTCATTTATTTATTGATCATGTTTGCAGATCTTTTTTGCATTGCCACATAGATTCTCCACAACATTCTGATGTGGCAAACTTTTTATTTTATATTATTTTTTGAAGAAAACATTGCAACATTAGAAATGTCTTGTAACCTGTATAAACATTTAGCCATTTACATTCAGTCTACCTTGGTTCTATTACACGTTCCAATGTATTATCCATAAAATTGTAAGTAAATTTAGCTTGCTACTCTTCAAAAATTTGATCAACATTTTGGGGGGGGGGGGGGGTGAGGGGAGGGGTTATCCAGTATGGACTTCATCCATAGATTGCTTCTTATATTATCTTCTAAGCTCCAGATGCAGGTCATTATGCATTCAGGCTTCTAGATTATAACAGTGTTTAGTGGGTTTTTTAAAGGTGAATTTCGAAATATTTAACCCTTGAGATTGGAATGAAGGCAGGCATTTGAAGTCATTGTAGTAAAACCATTCTTCACAAGAGATACCTTTAGTAATCTGAACTACTTATCTATAGAGACAGGAGCACCTCAAGAGGATATTATAGTGTGGCTTGATGGAGAATGTTGGTACAGTATTAGTAACTTATTTTGCTATTGCTTGGCTAAAACTGTTTTAAAAAATTATCTCCCTTCCTGGGTTATTTCCCCTGTTCTTAGTTGTTATATATCCGGTCCTGATATTACACATGGTACATGTTAATGTTTGTAATTCACTATCAGCCATTATTATCCATGTGTGTATATTTATGTATATTAGAACTACTCAAAAGTACCTTGAAATAAGCAGACTCCCTTTAGAATCATAAATTATACATGTAAGTGATTCAGGCTTCATTTAGAGTTTCTTTCATGATCAATTAGTTGAAACTTACTTCAGAATCTCATCATGGTCAAAACTGTTGAAGGACCCTGATTGTTTAGAACAGTGGTTCCCAAACTTTTTCCTTAACCGAACGCTCATTCTGAGTTGTTGAGAGACTAAGTACGCTTGAACTTGGCTTGGCTACCTATGAAAGGGGTTCAAGGTTCGAGCAGAGTTGTGTTTACTGAGCGCCTAAAGGCAGCACAAAAAACCTTCTCCCAGATACCCAGGGCTCTGCTGAACACAGTTTGGGAAACACTGGTCTAAAACAGATGTTGACCAACAGGCTAGTGTTAGGGCTAACATGTTTCATATGGTGTATACATCTTGAAACAAAAAAGCATATCAATATTTTATCCAATCATGTTTGTGAATGCATCCATTTAGTTGACAAACCTCATATTAATTTACTTTCTCATCAATTTATTAAAATTTCTTCATCTATTAAAATTGAGCCTTATGAATAGTTGTTAATTTACCTGGTCTAATTACATTTAAAAATACTCAAAAATATATCTTGTATAGTTTGTTAACAAGAAGAAAATTTTTCTTTTTTCAATAGAAACAAAAATTAAGTCAAATACACAGATTTTAAAGCTAAAACAAAAATATAGATTTGCATTCTTCAATTTTCTGTAACACACTGATAAAATCGTCATATTTTTTTTTAGATATTCTGTATATATCGTGCTTGTTAATTTTACTGTAAACGCAAAGTATTCTTAAATGCTATTTCTGGTGCGTTACAGATAAATTTATTGATGCTAGCATTAAATACTTTTTTTTTTAGTTTACCACAAGTTGATTTCATTCTTTCTTGTTTTTCCTTCATAGTCAAAATTGTCTGATGAAATCAAACTTTTCTTATGGTTATATGCCTAAAGCCTATCCGAGTTGGGCTTTATGTGTAAATTAACTTATGTTACATTCATAGAAACATCTTTCGGCGTCAGTTGTTACAACAGTACCGGTAATTAGTTTCTATGTTCCTGAACACAGATGATGACTTTAATTGTTATTGCTATTGTTAAGTTAATGATGTTCATTCTCAAATGTAGATTAGGCTGGCTGTATATTTTTGCAAAATTGAGGGTTTGATGGCTGCAAAAGCAACCCTTATGTCCAAACATGTATATCATCTTACGTAAATTAGTATTGGTTGTCTTGTAATGTCATGAGGACTTTCTTCTGACTTCTTGGTCATCATCTAGTATCTTCATCTGTCAGTGACTATTTCATTGTGACCTAAATGTTAAAATGTTGAAAGTGTTACTTCAAACAGTCTACATTAACTTGTTAAATGCTATAGTGACTTGTGTGTGAAAGTGGTGTGTTAAGTTATTTTGCTTGCTTAAGGAAGAAATTATCCAGCAGCAGCCTAAATATTAGTTTTCTTTAGTTACATTGTATACACAAATTATATTCAATGAAAACATTTATAGAAAAATTTAAAATAAATATTGTAATCCAACTTTTTGAATGAACAAGAAAATGTTCCATCATGTTGCCTGACTATGTTAATCAACGAGAATCTTTTGTCTTTGTTTTGAGATCAATAAAATGGCATCTTTTATTTTCTAAGATGCTTTAGTAGGGTTTATTTTTTTCTTTTGAGTATATTCTTATATAGTATCATATGGTCAATCAGCTTCAGAAAGAAATAAAGCTTAAAGAATAAGCCAAATATTTTAATTATATAGATGTATTTTTAGACAATTAGTTTTTTTGGCTACTACTAGATAAGGGCCCACAACCCACCAAACAGAATTAATATGAACATGGATGCAATCATTTTATAAGGAAGAAAATAATTGTTAATTTGTTTTGTTGTTAAAAATATTTTCAAATGCTGCAGTTAAAAAATAAAATAACCTGAAAAATAAATCACATTTACACATAACCAACAAAAAGTAAGACCAGAGAAGAGCCCAACCAACATTTGACAAAGTTTATTTCAATGTCAACAAACACACCATCTGATTCTGTAACAAACATTATTCATACAGTTGTCTACCATGAACAAAATATGTGTGCTGAATGAAGTTGCAACATTAGTAATGAATTTTATGGCGTATATTGTCCTACGAAACAAGAAATGAATGTACAAAGTAGAGAACCAATGAAGTCAACTTAAAAAAGAACTTTGGTTAGAGTGTTTTGTCAAGTTATGCAATTCAATCTACAACAAACTATGGTCAGGGAAAGCAAGAAACTAAGGTCAGTACATGAGAACAGAGAGACTGACTTTGGACTTGTATTTCGTCATGGTGCCATCTTTATAAAACAACTTTTGAGCATATGGGTTAAAATGTGAATATATTAACAAAGTTCAAGCTACAGTTTTAAAACTCTTTGTCCATAGCTCCACTATATCTTTCTTTTTGACATCCTCCGCCATTCCAGTTTCATAAACGTTAGAACATATTTATGTGCAAAGACTGCAGGATATGGTTAAAAGATGCTCTAAGGAAACAGAATTTAGTCAAACATGCTAAGCTTTTGAATATTTGAATAAAGCATAACACAAATGTATTTTGTAATGTAATTTTGCAATTGAGATCAGGATTTATCTACCACATAGATTTGGTAAAAACAAAACATTTCTTCATTAATTCAATGAACTAAAATGTGATTGTACAGTTATGTCACTCTATTGTTGGGACTTAGAATAAATATCAAGTTTTTGCATAGGCAAAATGATCACTCTCTAAGTGTATCTGATAGGCTGGGCTAGCTAGAGTATATTCACTACATTATATATGTGTGTTTCAATAACTAGGTGACTTTGGCTAAATATCTAATGGTCAAGTAACACTGACATCAAATTCATTGTTTTAAATGCAATTTCACTCCTAAGACAATCACATTGTTTCGTTTACACACAATATGATTTAAAACTAGGATTCAAATCATAAATTCACATTGATAGTAACTCTAAAAAAACAAAAAAATCTTAATGATGAAACAACTCCACCATCAAGTCTATAGCTCAGAAGTATTCAGATATAATAACTAGAACATGGACAAAAAAAATGAGATCAAATGAGCAGGATCCTCAAAATGTAGTCAGTAATATTTGGATGGACATCAACAAACAAAACTAGTTCTTTTAATGACACTGCAATTAGGTGACAAAGCTAAGGAGTGGCCAAACACAACACTTGCACTGCTACAGACATTGGTGCTGGCTAGACATAAACCTTGGCATTAATCAATTCTGACAAGTTAGACCCAACCATTTCAACTTTGAAAAAAAAGTCTATCTTATATAATATGTTCCACTCAACAGTAAAACCAAGTTTTGTAAATGTAAATTTAGTATTTATATTGTTGAATGAAACCAAATTAAGAATGCTGTTATGAAAAAACAAAAACATTTGAAATGTCTATTAAAAAAAGGTTCTAAATATTTAAAACAAAATTTTAAAAAATAAAGTTATATAATTAACATATGTATTGTATTCACTAAGAACAGAAAAATTCCTGTATTAACTGTTAAAACAAATTTTAAAAGTGGTTACATTTAGAGTACAAGTTCCCAGCCTTTGAGACCTGACTGCTCATTGGGTAGTGAAAGTTTTCTGAGGTCCTAACATATTTGAGGTGATCTCTTGACAATATATAATAAAATGGGAGTCTTTAACTCAAAAACATTTGAGAACCATATATTATAACCACAAACATAAAATTTAACTTTATCAACACATTTGCTTTCTGTCACAGCTGCCTTCTTTCTATCTTGACTGTAAAATACAGACATTGTCTATTGAAGACAACTTTCAATATTGTATAAAAATCCAGAGTTTATCTCTACTCAAATGTTTTGTGCTGTGCGTTTCTCTTAAAAGAATATATAAGCTTTCAAAATGCTTTGATCTTCTTTTTAGTAATTATTATAGCTTATATAGCGCTACTTTCATGCTTATAGTATGCTCAGAGCGCTTTGGTCCAATATCATTTGTGGACCGGGGGGGGGGGGGGGGGAATCTAGGAGTTGGTTTTCCGTGCTGCCTTTAGGCGCTCAGTAAACCCAACTCTGCCTGAGTCGGGTGTCAAACCTCGAGCCCCCTTCTAGGTAGCCAAGTTCAAGCGCACTTAGCCTCTCAACCACGCTTCCCACTAATTAGTTAATCAAAGCAATACCTTTTAGTAATACTAAGCTAAAATGTCTAGAATAGCACTATCAACATTTTTATTTTTAATGGTTTATTTTTGGTCTACATTCAACCAAAATCAAAAAAGTTACAAACTTCACTTCTACATTTAACGAACTATTCAATTGTTCAGTTCTGACTTCTAGATAAGACATAAAACAATTAATACAAACACAAAATCATTTCAATAAAATCATATCACCTTTCATGACCGGGGGGGGTACTAATTATACAACACTAGCACTCAACAATGCACAATGCAAATGAGCGAAGTACAGTGAAGATGTATGGGACATACAAATATTTACATATGAATTACTTTCTTGAATGGAATTAACTAACATACACAACCCAAACAGAACTAAAGGAACAAACACACACCAAAAATAAATCTGAAATTTATGGAGCCAGCACCATAACAAAATCTATTGTTTATATTAAGAAAGAAAACATTGTTCATGAATGTGGACCCAAAATGACACACACAGCTCAGATAGATTTGAATGACATTATTTCTTCTATTTCAAGACACACATTTAAATGATTTGAACATTTTTCCTTATGTTTTTTCCGCTAATAAAAAGGTGAAAGGATTTGAATATTGACCTGTTCAAAATTCCATGAAGTATTTTAAATAGCAGCGAAGTTATCAGAAAAATAATCTTGAAATAATGCACACATTAAAGGAATGAATTAATGTTCTAAAAAAACTGGCTGAAGATATAAATATTATTTACACACTGTTCTGACAAAGTGTTTTTGTTTTTTTTTATAAGCTGGAGTCTACACAATTTTTGTAATTTCTAGACAATATGGATAATGAATGATAAGATTATTATCTGCTAATAAGTATCTCAATGATTCAAATCTTGATGTATAGGGGGTTTTAATTACACATTTTTTAGGGTATCTTCCTGAACTAATGAAGACAGTCATTGTGATGGCCACATACCACTATTCTGAGACCACTGAATAAATAAGTCCCACAAAAAAATTTTGAGCTCACAGTATAAACTCTATACTTTATCCACAGGGTCACACTCAATAAAAAGCTCTAAAAGTCTGCATTAGATCTAATTACAATCATGGACCTCAACAAGATTAGGACTTGATGAGAAGTGGGGGCTAAAAAACTTGGATAAATAAATAACTATCACTAAATTGTCAAATCAAAATTACAAACATTTTCAGTAAAATTATTCTAAAATGTATTTATTTATTTTGATAAAAAATAGTTAAGTTAATATGATCATATATTTTATATGAAAAAAAAATCTATTTAAAAACAAATTGCTAATTCAATTCTCCTTCACTAGTAACTAAACTATTCAAAAAATATTTTTAAGTACTGACAAGCTTTTGGTTTAAAAAAAATAGCCCTCCACCCTACACCAACAAAATCTAATGTTGACACCTATGATTACAACATACACATCTTGTCAATGTGATTTGATAACTGCATGATAATTTAACAGTTTCGTGGATATGAATTATTAAAATTGTTGTTTTTTTAAAATAAAATTGTTATCAACATCCATTCTGTAACTCATTCACTTCAATATAAACAAACAACAAGACATTCACTATGTACAGTAAGTTATTTTATATATAAATATTTACACACAAACACACACAACAACAGCTGACACAGAAGCGCACATTCTTATTATGACCTCACAGTCTCACACTCCCAACAAATTATGCAGCTCATCATCATCAATTAGAGGCTCCTCCTCCTCTTCCTGCGACCTTTTGGCCTCCTCCACCCTGGGCATAGTTTCATCTCCACCCCCTGCAGCAACATCCTCTTCCTCATCTGATGCCATTCCCTCCTGCTCTTGCCTCATCAACTCTTCTATTCTGGCATTTAAGTCTCTACGCTGAAAACACAACCAGAAATAGTTCTAATTGAGACGTCAAAATTATAAGGAAGACAAGAATGAAGACCAATATAATACAATAATCTTTTAAACAAGACAAATCTTAGGACTGAGGTCACAATGTGACAACAAAGTCTTGATGATTAATGTCATGGTCTGAGGTGTGACGATTAAAGCAAAAATCTGAGGTTTGGCGAAAGACTGGAGATTAAAGCTACAATCTGGGGTTTGACAAAAGTCTGATGATTAAAGCCAGAATCTGAGGTTTGGCGAAAGACTGGAGATTAAAGCTAGAATCTGAGGTTTGACAAAAGTCTGACGATTAAAGCCAGAATCTGACATATGACAACACTAGTCTGAGGATTAAAGCCACAATCTGAGGTCTATAGATTTATATCAACACCTGTAGTCTGACAATACAAGCCTGAAGAATAATGTTGCAATTTGAGATTCAGCTGTGCTGTTCAGTCCAATGTTTATGGACCAAATCTTGAGAAATAAGACATAATTTCAAGAAAAAACCTATGTCATAATGTCGTCACTGGGTCATACCTTTGATTCTAACAACTCTTCATCGTCATCTTCCAATTCCAAAACCTCCTTGTCCTCATCATGGCTTGAAGACTGGTGACTTCTTCTCGCAGAGATGG